TTTTTTTTTTTTTTTTTTTTTTTTTTTGTCTTTAAAAAACAGGAAATTCATTAATATTTAAATTTTTTCTTTTTTTTTAATTATTTGTGCTTGATAAAATTAACTGGTATTTAGATCAAAAAAAAAAAAAAAAAAAAAAAAAATTTCAAAAGTGAAAAGGTTTCATAAATTTTTATTTTTTTTATTATTATTATTATTGTTGCATGTAAATTGAATCACCGAAAAAGCATGTATCAGAAGTGTGTACATATGTTGGTGTCCTTTTTTTTCTAAGAATTTTTCTTAAATTGAAGTATGAAATAAAATTTTTTTTCTTTTTTGTTTTACATCTACAACTTATTTCAATATATATATATATATATTTTATTTTGTATTGTTTTATTTTTTATTCTTTTTTTTTTTTTTAATAATTAATTATAGAATAATTTTCATGGTTTATTTCATTTTGTATTTTATTGATTACATTTTTTCTCTTCCACATGCTTATATTTAATATTTAATTTTTATAATATGTATCTTTAAAAATTACTCAGATTAAATGAAACAAAATTGAAATGTACAAAAAATTAAAATTAAAAAAAAAAAAAAACGTTTATGTTAATCATATAAACTTTAAAAATCTTAATAAATAAAAAAATAAATAATTAAGCATAAGAATTTTTCATATACAATTCTTCTCCAAATTAATAAACTACAAAATGAATATAAACAACAATAATTTAATGAAATAAAATAAAAAAAAAAAATTTACGCATGAGAATGTACAAATTATATGAAATGTTAGATATTGTCAAGTATTTTTGACATGTTCTCTTTATAATATTAACAACAGATAATGATAGTTTTGTTTTATAAAAATAAACCATTGTTTTGAAATATTTTGTGTAATTTGATAAACATCATTCAAACAAATAAAAATATATATATATATAAAATAATAAATGGAAAAACAAAATAAAAATATATTTAATTTCTAACATTATTATATATATATACTTTTCATACAATTTTAAAATGATTCATATATATATATATATATATAACTTCATAATCTTCTAATAAAGATAATTTCTTTTTAAGTAGAAATTTTAATTAAAAAAGAAAACTTTTTTTAATAATTTTTTTAAGAAAACTCTTTTCTTAATTATAGTAAAAAAGTAAAAAGATTTTATATTAGAATTTATGTTTTTCATTATTTAAATATTTAGTTTTATCAAATTAATCGATATTCTTATTTTTATGAAATAAAACAAGTTTATATGGAAATTCATACATATTTTGTTTGTTAATAATTACTTGTATAATTTTATAAATTTCTAATTCTTTTAACATGTCTTATAAAATTTTCATTATTTTCTATTTTTAATTTTTTAATAATTTTTTGACTTTATATGAACTGTATTATTTACGGAAAAAATGCTTCTTTTATACAAATATTTAAAAAATGAAAAATGCTGAAAAAGTCTAGATAAGTGGTTTAATTTCTTGCTAATTTACCTTTCATCTAATGATATCTTTTATTAAAAAAAAAATTATATTCTATATTATTTAATTTTATTTGAATTTAAGGTACAATTTAAAATAATAGAACAAATTTAAGAAAAACATAAAATATTAAAATTATCTTTTAAGAAACATATTATAGAAAATTTTTTTCATTAGCATACATTTATTTATATAATAATTATTAATTCTATAATTCTATAATTTTGTATATACATTTTAATTCAAAAAATATACTTTTAATATTATATAATTTTTAATTATGTAAGGAGAAAAGGATACATTTATCATTAGATAAATAATATAAAGCATTTTAGTATATATATATATATATTTATTTTTAATATTTTTAAAATTCTATTGTTAATAATAATAAATGATTAAAAAAAAAAAAAGTTATATGAATAAAGAGAAATATTAAAATTTGTGGTATTACATTTTTCACATCTTACGTATTTATATAAACATTAAAAATTATATGAATTTATTTAACACAAGAAAGGAAAAAATGAAAAAGGTTTTATATTATTATTTTTTCTTAGTTTGTTCTACAATACTTCTAAAAGCGTCTTAAACTTTTGTATTTTATTTAAAAAAAAAAAGAAAAGAAAAATAATTATATATATTTACATTTATCTTCGTTTCCTGTAATACTAAATGTAGGAGAATTAAAATTAATAAGTTTTATTTTGAAATTTATCTTTATAATTTTTAAAGTATATGAATTTTTATTTTATATATTTTTTTTTTTACACAGTTATGTTATTGTTTCATACTTTTATAACTTCACATTTGAAAATTAACTACTGTTATAATTCATTTTTATCATAATGTAATTATGTTTTATTTTATTATATTTTAATATATTCTTTATAATTTATCTATAATATGTTTTATTACGTTTTTCTATTAACATATTTTTTCGTTTCAATATGTAATTTTTTTTTATATTAAGTGTGTATTTATTATTTCATTATTATGGAATTATAAATTAACAAATCTTAAATAGAATTTTTTTTTTTTTTTTATATTATTTTAAGCTATTGAATTGTAACATAATAATTGTTGTTGGTTAATTTAATATAATAAAATTTAAATATGCACAAATTTATAATATTATGTTTATGAAGTTTTAATATATGATATTAGTTATTTACTAAATTTTTATTATTCTATGATTTAAAAAACTACTCTTAATTTTTAAACATAAGACCTTATAAAAAGAGAAAAAAAAAAAAAAAAAAAAAAAAAAAAAAAAAAAAGATGAATTTATGCTAATTATTGAAATGTTTTAAAAAATTAAAATAAGTAATTTAAACCTTTTAATTTATCTTATGCTGAGAATAATAAACTATAATTTATTCACTTTTTATGATATTAAAAATGTTTATTCGTTTCATTAAGTAATATAAATACTTTTATAGATTAATGAAGAAAAATATTTACTACATGTTTTAATAGAATATTAAGAAAAAAGTATCAATATTTTATAGGTTTCATTAAAATATTATCACATTTAAAATATTTATAATTAAAAACTAAAAATATATAATATCAATAAAAAATAAAAGGGGAATATATGTTAACATAAAAGATAAAAAAAAGGATATGTTATTAAAAAAAAATATATTAATATACACAATTTATAAAAATTTATAAGATCAGAAAGTGTATTTGTTTATATCTTATGAATAGACGCGAGATATTAAAATTTTTAAGTGGTGCATTATCATTTTAAGAATATTTATAAAATTAATAAATATTCTATCTTTTCATTTATTATATAAAAATATAACAGAATACTAGTCTACTTTTTCTATTATATATTTTTTTTTAAATATATAATACACGAAAACTTTTAAATTTTAGTTATTCTATAACAATTAAAAGAACAAAAAATTGTAAACCCTCTTAAGATTTTTTTATTGCAAGAAAAAATTTACGAATATAAGCAAAAATTTTTATTTAAAAAGTATTTTAATTTATAAATTACCTTAAAGTTTTTTTTATATAAATTTATTAAAAATAAAGAATATATATACATATTTTTTTTTCATGTTGATACTACTATTACAAAATAAGTATTATTTAAAAAAATTTTAAAGCACTATATGAAAGAAGAGATAATTTTAATTTATAAGTCATTTTATAAAAAATTTAATTATATTTATTGAAACATTTATAATAAATATACTGAAAAAAATATGTTGTATATTTTAATTCAATAATATTTTTTATTTTCTCTTTTTTTTAAACATTTCGTATGTTCATTAAGAAGGATTTTTTTTGTGTATCTCTAAGCTAAATTGTATCTAGAGCATTATATGAATAAACATATATACGATTTATATATAAATGAGAAAGTTAAATATTATGTCATATATTCTTATATTTTATTAGAATATAAAAGGAAACATAAACCTACAATTCTTAAAAATACGAAATCTTGTATTTTATATTTTTATATTCTTAAAAAACTTAAAAAGAATTTCTAATATGTGCGTCCTTGTCTTATATAAAAAATATTATATATAATGTAAATGAAAAATAATAATTTAAAACAAAATAAATGGACAAAATAATAAACAATTATATTAAAGACTTTTATAGGTTTAAGGTCGTTTTTTTATTTTTACTTATTTAAAATTGATGTGCACCATGATGCATAATTCAAAAGTAACAAAATAATTTTATAATTTTTATCTTTTTTTATATATCTAAAGAATAAACATTAGCTCAAATAAAATGTGATATATTTTTTTTTTTTATATTAATTAAACAGATAAAAAAAAAAAAAAAAAAAAGGAAATGTATTATTTTAAAGCTTGTTTTATATTAGATTATTTTAAACATACGAAATTTTTAATAAGTATGCTAAAGTTAATATAGTAACAAAATATAGCTATTCAATTTTTTTCTCAAACTTTTTATTGAAAAATGGGCATATGTATTAAAAATACAAGTGTTTAAAATATTTTTAGGTATTTTTTCTATTTCTTTTTTTTTTTTTTTTTTAACTGTATAATAATATTAAGGTATAACTTTAAATACTATATTTTTTTAAAATACACATTAAATATCCTTTGAATGATATTATCTATTAAAAATAATAAAATATATTCACAAATAGTGAAAAATAAAGATAAATAAAATATTTTCACAATTATATAATAATTTTTTTTATGTAATGCACAATATAAAAAATTGCATGTTTTAAATTTTTTTACAATGTATTTTTGCAAGATAAAAAAAAAAGAAAAAAAATACAAACATGTGACCCCCTAAAAAATCATAAAAAACGTTAAAGAAAAAAAAATTAATAAAATTAAAAAAACATATTTATTTAATAATTTGCAAAAAGAAAAAAAAAAAAAAAAAAAAAACCTAAAATTAGCGAATAATTTAATCTTTTTAGTAATGTGTATATAAACACATGCAATAACTTTTGACATGTAATTAATTAATATTGTATACATAATATTTTACGTTTAATATATTATAAAAATATAAATCTATAAATATATACGCATATGTATCTATGTATATATATATATATAAATATAAATATATATATATATTTATATATGTATGTATATCTAAATATATCTATATATATATATATATATCTATATGTATATATATGTGTATGTAGATATATGTAATTTATACATGTATATGAACATATGCTAATTATATATTCTTTTGATAATATGTAATTAAAGAACCTTAAATGAGAAAAAAAAATGATTTATTACAATCTTTAAAATTAAATAATAAAAGAAATTTTATTATTAAATATATATTCACATTACTGTTTTTTTATCTTTTCTGATAATAAAACTTTTTAACATTACATTCTTTTTTTTAAGTACAAAAAATAAATAAAAAATATTTTTAGTGTGCTGTTTGTATTTTTTTTTGAGTACAATAAACATTTTTAAAATGAAATATAATTATAAAAAAAATAATAACAAGAAGTATGTCATATAAAAAGAATTATTATGTATATTTATTATTTTAGAGTTTTAAATAATTTGATTAAAAAAAAAAAAAAAAATATAAGTACATATTTATTAAATTTATATATTTCCGTAATATATAAATGAAAATATTATTAGCAAAAAAAAAAAAAAAAAAATAAAAATAAAAAAATAAAAATAAAAAATATATTAATATGTATTTTAAATTAATAATATAAAGTATATATATATATATATGTATATTTTATATATAAATAAATTAAAAAAATATTTATGAGAAATTTTTTAAATATAAAAGCACTAAGTAATTGTATATTAATATTTCTTACAGTACAAATATAGATATATAAAATTATAATTAAATTATTTATTTTATTTTTTTTCAAAAAATTAAAAAAAAATTATATATATATATAAATGTATATAAATATATAAATATAAATATAAATATATATATATATATGTATATATATTTATATATATATATATATATATATATATATAAATATAAATATATATATATATACTTAAATGCATCTAAAATTAAAATAAAATATATTTTAATAAAACAAAATTGCACAAAAGAGAGAAAAAAAAATGCGCACACATAATTTATGCACCATCTATTTATATTCTTTACATATCATTCATTTTAAAAGTATGTTTTAATAAATTACGTGGCAGTGCACATATATTTAAAAAAATAATAATAATAACAAATTACTTTTATTAATATAAATAAATTTATATGTATAGATATATAAATATATGTACATACCTTTTTACATTTAATCAATGAACATTTAGAACTCTAAATATATGGTTTATTACATGTAAATTTATGTATATATATATATATATATATATATATATATATATATATATATATATATATATATATATAAATATATACATGTATGTATATATGTATGTATGTATGTATGTGTATATATAATTAATTTAAATTTTATATATACATTTTAAAATGGAATTCTTAAGTAATATATATGATAAAGTATTATCTGGTTATGTATTTACTGATGTATTTATATATAAAGATTGGCCAGAAAAGTTTTTAGGAAAAGATATAAATAATAATGATACTTCAAAAAATTTGAATGAAAATCAAGAAAATACAAAAGAAAATTTAAAAGAAATATTAGGGACATTTTTAAAAAATGGAAAATTTTCGGATTCTTTATGGATAAAAGATAAGATATTTATAGGAGATGAAGGAATTTGTCTTTTAGGAGAAATTTTAACGATATGCCAAATAGTAGAATTTATAGATTCAGAAGATATTAAAGAGGTAAAATGCAATGAGCAATTTAAAACTAAAATTTTGGACAAATTGAAGAGAAAAATAGCTAAAAAAAGAAATAGTGATATTCTAGAAGAAAAAATAAATTCAAATATAGCTATATGCAATAGTAATGATAATTATGATGAAGGTAATAATGAAAATAATGATAAGGATGAAAATAAAAACAGTGATAAAAATGCCGTATCGAATTTTGTTGAAATGCTTAGTGAAGGAAAAATGAATAAATATGGTTTTTGCGAATATGATCAAAAATTTAATGAAAGATATCATTTAAATAATAGTAATGATGATAATTTTTCTTCTCCATTAGAACGATGTATATTACAATTATCAGAAGATTATCTCCATAAATATGTGTGTTTATTACTGAACACAGGTGGAAAGCAACAAGTACGTATTTTACGTTTTAATAAAAATTGTGTTAACACCAATAAATTGTTAGATACGTTGAAAGGAACAATATCTTTTTTAAACGAACTACGGTTTTTGTTTAAGCATTTTAGATCTCAAGTAGTTTTAAAAAACAGAATATGTCGTGAATTTTATGCCTATATTAAATTTCATAGAGGAGATCCTAATTTTAGTGGAACAAAAGCAATAAATGAATTTTTTAGTTCTTTAAATGATAATGCTATAGAACCTTTGTTTCTTGGATTAAATGAGCAATATTTAAATTTATTAGAAGAAGCAATATCTTATTGCCCAATTGCAACATATTCATTTTTTAAAAATATAAAACTTCTTAAAAAAATAAATGTAAATGCTCCTAGACGTACATGGAAAGCAGTATGCAATTTACAAAAAGTATATAAAAATTTAAAAAAAATAAAGGAAAAATTATCTTTAGAAGAAACAAAAAATGTTTCTGATGAATATGGATGTTCCTCTATTATTAATCTTTCAAAAGGTGAAGATATAATTATTGAAAATAATGATGTAAAATTGTCATTGCCTCAAGGTAATATAAATTCTAATGAATTAAAATTATTATATAGAAAAGAACTAATATTTAAAAATAATATGAATGCTAGCAATGGTACTACTAATACTAACACTAATACTACTGTAACTAATGATAATAATAATAATAGTAGTAATGATAACGTTAATTTATCTGAACATTATAGTAGTATTGTAGTAGGTAATAACAAAAATAATAATGATTTATTTTTTGATAATTTAGATAATAAAGATTATTATGATAAAATGTATAATAATTCATTAGATTTATATACAGAAGAAAAAAATTCTAAAAGTTATGAGATAAATAAATTAAATGACACTTGTTTATATATTACTTCAGATGAAGAATCTCTGCAAATTGGAAAAAATAATTTAAATTCCAACATTGAATTAGATGAAACAAATCAAACAATAGATGAAAATAACAAAACCTTATTGGACGAAAATAACAAAACCCTATTGGATGAAAATAATAAATCATCAATAGAAGATAATTATAAAACTGCAGAAGAAATTGATAAGACATTAAATCAAAATAGGTTAGTAAGAGAGAATTCTATAGATGAATTAAGGGTTAATATGGTTAAATTGTTTAAAACATATGGTGGTCAATGTCGTATTGGAAAAGTACAAGGAAGGTGTGAAGATGCTACTTTTCAAACAGATGTCCCACCCGCTTTTGGAATTTTTGATGGAGTAGGCTCATGGAGTTTAGAAGGCATAGATGCATCCAAATTTTCTATTGGCTTATCCTTGGCTTGTCAAAGAGAAGCAGAAAAGCTATCAAAAAATATGAATGGTTATGCAAAAGTATCATACAATACTATAATTAGATCTAAATTATTATTAAAAAATTCTCTTGAAAGCGTAAAAAAGGAATATGCTGATGCTTATGGTAGTTCTACAGCTATAGTTGGCATATTAGACGAATATACAGGAAAATGTGGTATATCATCTTTAGGAGATAGTGTATGTATGATATTAAGAAGGGAATTTTTGCCAGGTGATATTAATTTTGAAAGAGAATCATATCCTAAGTTTCCGGGAGAATCATTTTTATATTTTAATGGGAAAGGAAGAAATCCCTCTTTAATTAGAAAAATTATATGGAAAACTAGTGATCAAAAGTGGGAAAACGGTGCACCATATCAGCTATCAAATTTACCTGATCGTAGTCAATGGAAAGACTTAGAAAATAGAGGATTGCATAGCTTTGTGAAAATTTTAGAAAAAGTAGACATTGATGGAGATTCTCCAGATATGGCATTATCTCCCCCTTCTGAAATCTTATGTATGCCAGGAGACTTAATACTATTAATGAGTGATGGTGTTAGTGATAACCTATTTGATGAAGAAATAGAAGCTTACTGTACTTTTGCTATAAGTCCTGAAGAAGCTTGTGAGTTAGGAGATCCAAGTGTATTTACGCCTGCTCAAGATATAGCTTATTCTATTACTAATATAGCTAAGAGAAGGAGTGGAGATAAAATTCATTGCAAACCTTTTTATCCTTTTGTAGGAAAATATAGAGAACCAAATAAAGTTTATAAAGGTAATAAAGTAGATGATATTTCGTGTGTAGCTATATGGGTTGTTTGCGAAACAGAGAGTAGTGTAAAAGATTTTGTAAAAAATCCTAATGAGCCCTCTACTTTAGAAACAGATAAATATTACAGTAATAATTTTATTCAAAATTTTAATAAAATTACAGATATTTGTACTCCAACTAAAACATTTATTAAAGAAAAAAATAAGATTGATCGTGTAAATTTGCAACAAGTAAATGTAGTAGCACAAAAAAGAATAATACCTGAACAATATTCTGAACAGAATAATGAAAATACTCCAAGTTGTCAGTTCGCTATGAATTTTTTTGATTCTTCAGAAACTCCTATTAAATTCAATAATATATCAGATAGCAAATTTCAAGACTTAAATGATATTGTACTTAAGGATGAAGAAGATGTAAGTGATAATAAATGTGATAACAATAATAATGAAGAAATAAATAGGGAGGAAAAATGTGATTTTAGTAAGTTAAAAGAAGATGTTGATCAAGTAAAATCTCCAAAAAATAATAATGTAAAAACTAATTATAATGCAAAAGATTTTCAAGGAGATGAATTTGATCATACTCCTAGACAAAAAATGTCAGATGTTCATTTAAATGAGCAAATAGAAAAAATAAATAAAATGTATATTAAAACACCTTTATTGTTTTCAGATCAAATTTTTAAAAAGAATAAGGAAAATATAAAAAACTCTGATTCGAATAATTTCGAAATAAAAAATAAAACACAACAAATTATACCAGATAATCATTATGAAACTCCTATAAAGCAAATGCCTATAAAGGAGACGCATAATATAGTTATGCCTAATAATGAAAATCCTTTAATAAATGTATTTATAAATAATGAAACACCCATCAAAGCATTTAATACCAAAGAAACCTCATTAAAGGTTGATAAAAAAATTACAAAATCTAAGAGGAAATCTATGTTTAGTAGTGACAAAAAAGAAACCCCAAGTAAAATGAGTTATACAAGAAAGCGTAGTAAAAAAGGATAAAATTATTAATAAATATATAATGAAATAAATAAAATTAATTTTATATATATTTTTTTTTTTATTTTATTATATTTTCCTTTTATTTATTCATATATCATCTTTTTTTTTATTCATAATATATAAATTTTTTTTGAAGTAAATATTTGCTTTGATAATTATAGCTTGTATAATAGAGAAAAAACAGTATATATATTTGTGTTTTTAAAATTTGGCTAACAATTTATGCAATTTATATATATTTATATATATATTAATTAAATACTCTTATAAATAAAGAAAAGAAAAAAAAATATGTTTATATACAACTCTATCCATGTATATTTTTATGTATAAACTCACAAATATATATATATATATATATATATATATATATATATATATATATATAAAATCATTTCTTTCTTTATTTATTGGATTTTTGTGAAAATATGTATATATATTATTATAAAATTAAAATATTGTAAAAATAATTATATATATATATATATTTATATATTTTATACTTTATAATTTATTTTTTATTGTAAGTTTTTTTAGAAATTATATAATTTCTTAATAATCATAGATTTTAATAAGCTAATTTTTCTTAAAATATATATTTATATTTTTATTTTATTGTTATTAATTTTGCTTTTATATTATGTAATTTTCTTATATTTATTTTAAAAATATTTTAGAAAGATATCTGTAAGAATATTAATGTTTTTAAACATATTTTTTAAGTAAAAGTTTTTATTAGTGCTTTTGCGCTTTTTCTTCTTCGTTTATACGTGAGTGTTTAAGAATTGAACACATTTTGAATGAAAAATTTTCGTTACTAAAAAAAAAATGTATTACGTTATATTTTTACATATTTTACTTTTTTAGAATGTATCAATAATTTTTTTTTATTGTTTTAAAATTTCATATTATAAATTGCTTTATGAAATAAAAGAATTGAAAACAAAATTGAAATAGTTTGTTGAAACAGAGCATTAAATATATATATTTTTATTTTTTTATTATCATATCCTTTTATTTCTTAATTTATGCTCACTCTTTATTTTATTAATTTTTTTTTTTTTTTTTTTTTTTTTAAATAAGTTTTATATATTGTTTAATTTTATTAATTTGAATTTCTAATTGACTATTTTATTGAAAAGGAAAACGAAAACTTTTTTTTTTTTTTTCCACTTATATTAAATAAAATTATCATAACAAAAATAAAATATAATTATAAAGAATGAAATAGAAATAGAAATAAAAAAAAAAAAAAAAAAAGGTTATTTAGTTCTTTTTATTAAATAAATGGGAAATATTCTAAGAATTAATTTAACATAATGTTGTAAATTATATGTATATTTATACTTTAATAATGTCTTATTAAGAAAAAACAAAGATATCGTATTCAAATAAAAATGTTTCTTTTTCATATAAACAAATATAATATTATTTCCTTTAAAAAATATATTACATAAATTTTTTTTAGTAATTTTAATAAAGATTTTTTTTTTTATTTCTAATTTTTAATAGAATTTAAAAAAATAAATATCGTAAAGTTAAAAGAAATACACAAAAATATATATAAAACAAATTCATAAAAAAAAAGAAAAAATTATTTTTTATATTTTTTAAAAATAATAATTACTAAAACCTTAAAAGAAAATTTTCTATTTTATTAAAGAAACAATTAAATTATACAATTGTTGTTTTGTTATTTTTTTAACATTTTGTAGAAGAGTATATGAATGTTGTTAATAATCCTGTAAGTTTCTTATAATTTTCTTCATTTTTTTTTTTTTTTTTTTTTTACATTGCTTGGTCATTTAATCTTTTTTTTTTTT